TCTATAATTAGAGTAAAAGAATTTTATATCCTTGTATATGTGTATGTTTGCATGTACACAAACATATATTCTTTAGGCCATCTTTATCTTGCTGAAATCCTCCTGTTGTAGTCCAAATAGAACTGTCTYTTGGGAGTTGGGGGTGATAGGAGATTGCCCATTCTTCTCATTGATAGCTCTCAAATGTTTGTGTGGGGTGAATAGAGGGGAGATTTTCATTCTGGGAGCTTTGAGGCAAGTGGGATCTCATRTCTCTCCTTTTGCCTTTCCCAGCTCTACCGCTTTCCAAAAGAGGAACCCAGAGGTCTTTCAACAAATATCAAAGCCATGGCTCAGGTGAGATGCTATTTCCTGTTGCTCAGATAGAAACATTTTTACCTCTAGCAGAGAGGAACATTTGCTTTCTCATCTTGGTGCTTTTTATTTAAAAAAAAAAAAAACTCCTTTTAGACAGTCTAATTGTAAGTAGTGCCAAAGTGTTCTTACTCTTCTGTAAAAGAAAGGGTATTTAGTAGGCCAGTTTAAAATTTTTTCCATTGTTGGTAATAGTTATAGAAAAAAGAAGTGGCTACATAATCTTATTTAATTTTTATACTCTTAAGTTGTAGATAACAGTTAGGCATCCATATTTCTCTAAAGAACTTTTAATCAGAATTTTTWAAAAWTTTTTTTAATATTTATTTTTTAGTTATAAGTGAACACAATGTCTTTATTTTACTTTATACGATGCTGAGGATTGAACCCAGTGCCTCATGCATGCCAGGCGAGCTCTCTACCTCTGAGCCACAACCCCAGCCCCTTAAACAGAATTTTAAAATGAAATTTTCATCAGAAAATGGTTTATCAATCATTCTTTTTATAGTTTGAGCTGTAGATGGACACAGTATTTTTATTTTTTATTTATTCATTTTTATGTGGTGCTGAAGATCGAACCCAGGGCCTCACACTGTGTGGGAAGTGCACAACCCCAACTCCTCATCATTTTTTTAGTTGAAAAATTATTTAATGTAAAAACAGTCTGACTGGGTTGGTTGGGGTTGTGGCTCAGCTGTAGAGCGCTCGCCYAGCACACGCRAGGCTCTGGGTTTAAACCTTAGCACCACAAAAAAATAAAATAAAGATATTGTGTCCATCTACAACTAAAAAATAAATATTAAAAAATAAAAAAAAAACAGTCTGACCCAAAGCCAGGCACAGTAATAAGTGCTTGTAGTTCCAGCTACTTGGGAGGCTRAGGGAGGAAGATCACTTTAGAATAGGAGTTCAAGATTAGTCTGGGAAACATAGTGAAATCCTGTCTCTTTAACAACAACAAAAGTCTGACCTAGATCAGGTTTRATGTTTTTTACATTGGTTACCAGTTTCCCCTTTCAGGACCTGAGCTCCATTTCCTCCTAAACAATCCAGTACCCTTTATAGTTGCCTCCATTTGCTGGGGTGGGAGTGGGTGGCGGGGCCRGGTAATAGGATTAAACTCAGGGGCACTCGATCACTGAGCCACATCCCCAGCCCAATTTTATATTTTAAAATTTAGAGACAGGGTCTCACTGASTTGCTTAGTGCCTCGCTTTTGCTGAGGCTRGCTTTGAACTYGTGATCCTCCTACCTCCRAATCTTCTGGGATTACAGGTRTGCACTACTGTACCYRGGTACAGTTTCCCCCTTTTTAAAACAATGTTTACATGCTCCCTTACTAAGTGCTCCAGCAYTTCCTATCTCCAACTTCTTCCACAAATCCTGATAGTACAGAAATATGTTCCTCATATTGAATTAATCTAATTTGCCTGGACACTTGAATGGGAAAGAAGTGAGTAACTAGGGCACATAGAGAGAAGCACTAATTATCTCCACAAACCTTGGTTTTCCAGTAAGAATTTTTGTAATGGTTTTGTTCAACTTCAGTCTTAGTACATGGCAAGTTCTCCTGGTTTATGAGATTTTTAGGTTTGGGAAAATAACTGCTGATTGATTAAAGCTCTAATACTCCAGTATGCATCCATGAGATACTGATATCAAGTGGGACATGGTAGCACATGGTTGTTATCCCAGCTACTTGGGAGGTAGAAACAAGAGGATCACAATTTCAAGGCCAGCCTCAGCAACTTAGCAAACCCTGTTTCAAAATAAAAAATAAAAAGGGCTGAGAATGTAGCTCAGTGGTTTAGCGCCTCTGAGTCARTCCCCARTACTGGAGGGAAAAATCGATAATACCATTATGTTAATATGGATCATCCACCATCATTTTTCTATAACTCAGGAACAAGAGGGACTTAAAATTGGACAGTGGATGGTTAATATCGAGCCATTGTCAAGGAGGTCTTTAAAGATCACTTCTGGCCTAATTTTTTAATTGAAGGCAAAAAAAGTTAACATTTATATCCTTACAATAGAATGTTAATCAGTGAGTAATAAATATACTTATAAAATATTTTTAAAGCCATTTACATATGTTTTCAAGTGAAGTAAAACTCTTCCAGTCCTGCCCCATCTGCATTTAACTTTTTGTTTGTTTATTTGGTTTTTTGGTATGAGAGATTGAATCCAGGGCGCTTACCCACAGAGCCACATCCCCAGCCCTTTTTAATATATTATTTAGAGACAGGGTCTTGCTAAGTTGCTTAGGGCCTCACTAAGTTGCTGAGACTGGCTTTGAACTTGAGATCCTCCTGCCTCAGCCTCCCGAGCCACTGGGATTACAGACATGTATCACTGTGCCCAACTTCAACTCTTGAATATGGTTTAATTGCTGTCTTTTGATAAATTTGTTATATTAATGATCCCTCGATTCACTTCAAAATAAAAAGGGACATCATATTCCCATATTTTACTTTTCATTTTTCCTGACTCTGTTAAGAAAAAACAGAGTCAGGAAAAAAGCCTGACTTTATTTAAAGCCATGATAACATTACATGTAATGTTATCATGGCCTTAAATATCATTCTTACTGGGCATAGTGGCACATGCCTGTAATCCCAGTGGCTCTGGAGGCTGAGGCAGGAGGATCACAAGTTCAAAGCCAGCCTTAGCAACTTAGTGAGACCCTAAGGAATTTAGTAAGACCCTATCTCAGAATAAAAAATAAAAAAGGTTGGGGATGTGGCTCAGTGGTAGAGTGTCCCTGAGTTCAATCTCTGGTACCAAAAAAGAAAAAATTATTCTCTATCAAGCCATCTTATGGCTTTATTCTAATATACTCTTTCATTTTCCCTKGGGTTAATTGTTTCTTCTACTACTTGTTTAGTTGTTTGTGTTATAGCTAAGAGTTCYCAGTATTGTTGCCACATGCCACAGTCAATAAGTTTTCTATCAGGAACACATCAGTTCCCTTTGAACATAGAAACTTCCTTCCTATTCCATTGTCTCCTACTCCCATCTGATCTGGTTATTCTCTAGACCTGTGACATAGTTTTCCTAAGACTTTCCTTTTATCACTTTCCCTGGATCCCCCCCACCCCACCCCATACACTCTGTCTAGTGTTCTTTACCTGTTTCCTGAATCCCATGTCATCTTTTTCAGGTTGACTCCCTCATTTGGGTGGAATATATCCTCCAGTAGTTTTCCTAGGAAATTGTATTTGAGTCCTTGTATCTCTAGAAATGTCATTTTTAAATACTCAGAACACAGTAGAGAGTTTGGTTTTAGAATTCTAGGTCAGAATTCATTTTCTCCCCCAGGATATTGAAGAATTGTTCTTATTATTTCTTGCTTTTAGAGTGTTCTTGAGAATTCCATTGGCCCTCTGATTCTTGATGCCTTTTATATGACCTGCTATCCTTTGGATGCTTTTAATGTTCTGTCTTTATCCCTTATTCTGAAATTTTACTCTTACCTATTTGAGAGAAGGGGAAGAAAAAGAAGATCACATAGTATTCATGATTTATTGTATGTCAGGTATCATGCAAGGCATTGTGAACACAACTCCATTAATTACAATACTCATCTTGGCTGGATTTTTGTACCTTCCYACCCTTGTTCAGATGATAAAAATATCCCACTAAACAGAGAGTTTTGTCTGGAGAAAATAGAATGACATGGAAGCACAATGATCCTGTTGTGCTCATTTTTTACAGTCCTCTATATGCATCCCAGACATTCATATGCTCACTGTATTTCACTTCTGCTACCTTAATCTTTTTCTCCTACACAAAACATTTCTTTTTATTAATCAAGTCATATACATGGTTGTTGTTCCAGGAGTCAGTGATGTTCAGTGATGTATCCATAGACTTCTCTCAGGAGGAGTGGGAATGCCTGACTGATGATCAGAGACATTTATACAGAGATGTGATGTTGGAGAATTACAGCAACCTGGTTTCAATGGGTAAGGACATCTGTCCATAATAATTCAGATTCTGCCCTTGGAAGGTTTGTTTCCTCCAGTATGAAACGTTCTCCTACCTTTCATAGACCAGTTGGAGTCCTACATCCTTTCTTTGATCCTTCCTATAATGTCATGTCTTTCTTTACAGTGAGGAGTAGACTTGAAATCTGAGTCAATTCTCATTCTACATTTGTGTCATTACTTCTTTTGTAAGCAGGACATTCCATTTCTAAACCAAATGTGATCTCCTACTTGGAGCAAGGAAAGGAGCCCTGGTTGGTTGACAGAGAGCGGACAAGAGGCCAATGGCCAGGTAAGTGAGGCACAGCAGGTAAAGATCCAGTTGGTTAGTGGAGAGACTGCTTCTTTGACATGCTCTCTGAAAAGCTCCCCTCAAAATCTTTAGTCCAGCTGTGCATAAGCTTTCAAAGAAGTTTACCTTTTCCCCTTACATAACTCACTTTGTCTGCTTTTCTGCTCTTATCTCCTAATTCTAACTAGCCTGTACTCTCTTCCACCCTGTCTAATGATATTCCTTTCTGTCCATATTTTGGATCCAGTTTCTTCCCAGCTTCTCATCCTCTTGTATTTAGTCTTGTAAAAACACCACTGTTTCCTGAAATATATGTTTTCCTACATTGCCAAATGTCACATTCCTCATGACTAAAATACTCAGGGTCACTCCAGGTGAACTGGTCTACGTGAAATAACCACACAATACAGACAAACACCTTTTTCTTTGGGTCTTGTGATGGCTCCTCTGACCTTAAGGGTCCACAGAAAGTGAGAGAGAGAGAGAGAGAGAGAGAGAGAGCGCGAGCGAGCGAGCACATGCTGAACCCTTTTATTGAGAAGAAGCCATTCAAATGAGGCAAGGGGTTAAGTTTCAGGGGGTTGAGTCTAGCTTCCTGACATCTGCTGTCAGCAGGTTGACTGACATCTAGGAAGGCCATGCCCAAAGGCAAAGCAGGAGAAGGAGACACACAAAGGGCGTTTCCRTGGAACATTCTATTCCCAAACAGGGCAAAGGGTTAGTATTACAAAGGAATAGGTGAATTTAGCTCCWGAAGWCACACCTTCTATTTCCTAGGCTGGTACAACGCCTAAGTCACCAGGAAATGTAGTAATCAGTCAGAGCCTCTTGCTTCAGGATGAAGGCGTGGRTCATTCAGAGTGGCTTCCCACAACCAAATACTTATTTTCTTTAACTAATTTTTCATTTTGGATCTAGGAGCTCCAAATCTTTACTGATTCAATCATACTTTTAACCAGTATTTACTGTTKTACTAACATGTGTTGCAAAAGCAGGGGCAGGTTTGTATGTGTTAAGCTCAASATACTAATTGGATATAGCATAAATGTCATATAGGCAATTTTATACATAAGTCGAGGTCAAATCAGGTTTGGAGAATTTGGAGAGCCTTCACTATAGAAGTACCCAGCATTGTACTGGATGAGATAACCTCATGAGTATATATTAAAGGCAATGACAGCACCCTTAAGTGCCCCAGTGTCTAGAAGTCTACAGAATACAAAGGTATGGCAAAGAATTGTAGGTTGAGCAGTTGGGGATAGAAGCCAAACTCATGGGAGACAGTGTGCCRTAAGGAGTAGATATTTTAATAGTTTCTACATGCATTTTCTCATATAATTCTTGGATGTGTGCTCTCTCGCTCCCCTTTTTTTGTGGAGGAGTGGACTAAGCATTGAACCCAGGGATGCTTAATTACTGAGCACATCCCCAACCTTTTTTTTTTATTATTATTATTAGCTGTAGGTGGACACAATAAATTTATTTTATTTATTTTTATATGGTGCTGAGGATGGAACCCAATGCCTCACACATGCTAGGCAAGTGCTCTATCACTGAGCCACAACTCCAGCCCTCCCAAGCCCTTTTTTATTTTTTATTTTAAGACAGGGTCTG